GACACGCAGAGAGGCCAGTGAGGGCACCCCAGATCTGCCCAGCTCCTCCTCTGCAGACCTATGGCCAGGCGCGGCAGCTAAACAGGCTGGGCTAGGCTGGTAGTGTGGGCCAGCCCACCTATGGGGAGATCAGCACGTCTCCAAGTGAAGCCGGGAATGGGGAGGCTGATGTGGAAGCCTCAAACCCACCTCTCTCCTTCACTGCACCTGGAAGCCTGAGGGAACTCCAGCAGTCTGGGCGCAGATATCCAGAGTCCTCCAGACACGCAGAGAGGCCAGTGAGGGCACCCCAGATCTGCCCAGCTCCTCCTCTGCAGACCTATGGCCAGGCGCGGCAGCTAAACAGGCTGGCTAGGCTGGTAGTGTGGGCCAGCCCACCTATCGGGAGCTCAGCAGGTCTCCAAGTGAAGCCGGGAATGGGGAGGCTGATGTGGAAGCCTCAAACCCACCTCTCTCCTTCACTGCACCTGGAAGCCTGAGGGAACTCCAGCAGTCTGGGCGCAGATATCCAGAGTCCTCCAGACACGCAGAGAGGCCAGTGAGGGCACCCCAGATCTGCCCAGCTCCTCCTCTGCAGACCTATGGCCAGGCGCGGCAGCTAAACAGGCTGGGCTAGGCTGGTAGTGTGGGCCAGCCCACCTATCGGGAGCTCAGCACGTCTCCAAATGAAGCCGGGAATGGGGAGGCTGATGTGGAAGCCTCAAACCCACCTCTCTCCTTCACTTATGCTGGAGATTTCTTTTGACATGCAGAAACTTTTTAATAAGAAGTGGTCCCAGTTATTGATTCTGGGAAGTATTTCCTGTGCGATTTGTGTCCTTGTTCATGAATTCTCTACCCACTTCTATGTCTTCAAGGTTTCTACCCAATTTGTCTTCCAATAGATTTAGTGTTTCTGTTTTAATATTCAAATCTTTGACCCACTTAGATTTTAATTTAGTACATGGTGATAGTGTTTCTGAAAGCTGGGCCTGCAAGCACCATTTGACCCAGCTATTCCACTTCTAGGCATATTCCCAGAAGAACTGAAAGCATCATACCACAGTGATATATGTGCACCCATGTTTATAGCAGCACAATTTGTAATAGCCAGATCTTGGAAACAACCCAAGTGTCCATCAACTGAGGAATGGATAAAAAAATTGTCGTATTTCTGTACAATGGAGTACTACTCAGCTATAAAGAATGATCACATTGAGAAATTTATAATTAAATGGATGCAGTTTGAGACCATACTCCTAAGTGAAATAAATCAAATTCATATGTATAAATACCGAATTGTTTCCCTAGGGTAAGTAATGTTAAGAATACATAAAAGTACGTGGTAATCAGAGTCCCCAGTCACACTGGTTTGAAGCCATATAATGTTTTCACTCATTAATTGGGATGGTTTTAATCTGGGTTGTTTTTTTTTATTGTGTGTGATACTACGAATAACTATTTTGAAGAAAATAAGAGCATAATACCAGCGCTGATGTAATATCATCGTGTTTTGAAGCCCCATCAAGTTGTTGTTCATTTGTTTCCATTGGTTCTAACATGTTGTATCTTATTATATCTTAATGTATGCTATAGTATAAGCAAATTTTATATAGACAAAGAGATAATATAGAAATTGATGTTCGGTTTCTGGTAGCTGGTTCTAAATACCCTGCAATAGTTTCGTTCTCTTGAACGGTTTCACACTGTCTTCAAAGTTTGATGCTATAGTTTACGAAGTTAGACTCAAATATTTCAAGGAAAGAGTCACTATAGTAACTACTATTAATGTCAGGCTATCTGGGGGTGAACAACAATGATGCTTAAATTTCTCGGTTCTGACTGGTGTTGTTCTATTGATATGTTCTTTTTTAATCTCAATCTCCCCCCCTTTTTTAAAATTAATTTATTTCTTAGTATCTTTTAACTAAGGGAAATCTAAATTAAAAATAGTGCGATAAATTATAGTAACTTTTTTGTTTCCTTATTAACCGGATTTGAACCCCTGTATTGTTCTCCACATCTTGTTCTGGCTAACTTTATTATATTCTGTTTTGCTTAATAGTATCAAGTTTGAGAATATAGGCAACCATTTGGAAGGCAACCAGATATTCTATGATGTCTGTTATTGTTTGACTATTATCTTCTTTGGAATCCTGTAAGCTCTCCAATATGGGTTTTATTGGTCTTCCGTACAGTTTTGTTCAATTCTTTTATACCAGGTAATATAGGCTACTCTTTTTAGCATAACAAGAGGCATAAGAGGCATAATGGTGACCATTGTTGATCACCTAGTAATCCTTTTTTTTTTTCATTATATATTATGTCCATCCTCCTGATCTAATTGACTCTGTTTTGCTTTGTCACATTGGGTTTTTCTTTGGTCCGTTTTGTTTTGTTTTGTTTTGTTTTTGGTTTTTTTAAAATCTTTTTTCTTTTCCTCTTCAAAGAAAAAGTTATAAAAACTGTGGGAGTAATGGAAACTAAAATGTGTGATTGTTAGCGTAAAAAAGAGAGGAAGGAAAGTTACCTAAAGGATATAACTGCAAGTATATTTAAATATGTAGGATAGAGAACCATATTGCTGAGTTTTTCTTGGATCATTGAACAGAACTGACAGCAATCTCATTGTATCAATGTCCACTTTGTATGCTTTAATTTTGTAATCTGCACAACTGTTTCTAAGATGACAATATGTGATCTATTAACTGGTGAATTCTTACTGTATATTTTTTCTCTTGAAATTCTGTATTACTTCTAGCCTTTTACTGTTTTGCTTCATTTAGTTTTGTTTTTCTCTTTAAATAAAAAAATTAAAAAAAATTTTAAAAAAATTAAACAAAGTTGTGGTATTTTTATACAGTGCAGTAATACTCAGCTATAAACAATGATCACATTGAGATATTTATAAATAAATGGGACAGTTTGAGACCATACTCATAAGTGAAATAAATCAAACTCACATGGATAAATACCGAGTAGTTTCCCTAGTGTAAGAAATGGTAAGAATACATAAAAATATGTGGTGCTCATCATTCCCCATTATATTGCTTTGAAGCTTTATAATGTTTTCATTCATTAATTGGAGTGGTTTTATTCTGGGTTGTTTGATTTTATTGTCTGTGATGGTATGAACAGCTATTTTGAAGAAAACAAAGACATTATAATAGCTAGTGCTGATTTAATATCATCTTGTTTTGAAGTTCCACCAAGTCTTTGTTCTGTCTCCATCTGTTTAATCATGTTGTATCTTATTGAATTTTATTATTTGTGATAGTATAAACAAAATTTGGACAAGGAGGTAATGTAGAAATCATTGTTGATTTTCTGTTAGTTGGTTCTGAATACCCTGTAATACTTTTATTCTCTTGAATGATTTTACACTGTCTTTTAATGTTTGGTACTCTATTATATGGAGGTATACTCAAATATTTCAAGGAAAGAGACACTATGATAGTGACTGTTATGTCGGGTTGTCTTTTGGTAAAACACTATGCTGCTTCAATTGTTCTATTCTGATTTGGGTTGTTATGTCTTCTTTTATCTTAATCTTTTTTTAAAAACAAACAAACAAAAAACCTAACAATGAATTATGGGCATTGGGCCTCTAAACCATGTAAAATTGGACAAACAAAAAACACGGCACTCCAGCACCTGTGAGTGCAGGCACATAGAGGTGAACATTGGGAATGAGTCTTATTAGACCATCACAGTTGCTCATGGCAGTAGAGACAGCTCCATGAAGTCAGGATATAGGCACAATCAGTCTGCAAAGGTTCTGTTCTTCAGGTTCCTTCTGAAACACTTCCCGGTCATAGTTATTCACAGGACTGGTTATATTCCCTGGTGCACAAGAGAAGTCTCAGACTATTCCACAATAGCCCTGGGAGCTACTAGATGAATGTGGCACTTTAGTCTGAAATGCAAATCTCTTCCAAATGCAGTAATGTTAAAGAACAATTGCTCAGGGTTGGAATACAGGTCCCTCGCTGACCTCTTTTTGTGATTTGCAGAGAGGGTGTGGAAGGTATAATGTCCTAGATTTGTGCTGACTGGAGTTTCCAGCTCATATTTTCTATGCCTCCTCACTGATAAATCTGTTTGCACTGTCTCTTCATTACCAGCCCATCCGTCCATGAGGACCTGATCTCAGTCAGCACCACTGGCCGAGACTCACCAGATTGATCACAGCACCATCGGTGGGTCTCACCTCCAGATGTCGGCAAGCAATGCCCCAGCTGCCCAGATAAGTTTAAAAAAAAAAGATGTGGCGACAGTGGAGCCCTATCCATGGCATGCAGCTCTGCTCTGGGAAATTGGAGCTGGTGGCTGGGCTCCACGCAGGGCTGGAAGGTGTGGGGCTGTGTGGCAGCTAGGCCTGGGCCTGGAATAAGTTTTTATATGTACCCAGGCTCATTAACACACACACACACACACACACACACACACACACACACACACACACACAATCTATGTACCATGTATCTAGAAAAGTATGAATTTTTGAGTTTATATTGAAACAATACATTCCAGTCTGGCTTCACAGGGTTGATTAGAGTAGCTGTTTCTCAATCAGTTACTCCCTTTGCCATTCAGTGGGGAAACGGGCCCCCGTCATTCTTGGTGTATTTACCTTCTGGATCTAATTTGTTCATACAGCCACGTTCCACCCATCATGTCTTAGGCATGCAATCTGCACCTCAGGTTGTTTATAGTGTATCAGGAAATGCCTCCTGGCATCAGTAATGGCTATTGGCTTGATGTGCATCTTTTCCCAAATTGCTTGGGCTCCCACACCCAGCTCAGTCTGCCCCTTTTACAGTCACCTTCTCCACCTTGTTCTGTCTGACTTGGAGCAACATGACACCCTCCCCTACCCCAGTGTGTGGCATCTTGCTCTTCCACATGTGATTTTAGGACTGAATTAATTAGGAAAGGCAGGGTACGAGTCAAAAAAGAAAAAGAAGAAAACTCTGTAGTTTCTGATAACAGATGAACTTGATTTAGACTTGTTTCCAAGTGAGCTGAGCAGTAACTCATCTTTAATTCAATATTCATTGCATTGAGGTGTTGGATTTTGAAGGAATACAAAAAGGCAATGACAACAGTTTTCTAGACATCCAGGAAAATCAGAAGAAATGGTAATATATTAAAACAGATCATAATATCAGAAGTGATCACTGAGTTTCATAAAAATGTATTTCAAAACAAAATTAACTATGAATATACTTTGCCTGCAATGATCACAAAGTTAATTGAATCTGACATCTCCTAGTAGTCAAAATGGAATCTATAGCAAGCCTACATAATCAGTGACTATACTGAAAAACAGTTTTTATGAATTTGAACATCACAGCCATCATTATTTTGTTTCATTCCAATTTTTTTGATAAAATTAAGAAAAAACATTTAATTTAATCAGCACTTTATTAAAATTGATGGAGTTAACTGGGGTAAATTAAGATGGTCCCAGGAGAACTGGACAAGGTGAATCTGCATATCTGACAGTGATTTAGTCACTTTCTTTACATTACACAATAAATAATATGTGTCATCAAGCAAATTCCATGAATGTATTCAATTCCTAATCATTCCAAGAATGTGGATTAAGTTAATCCTTTGCCGATTTTTTTTCCCAAAAGAAATTAAAGTGCTTTTTTTGGGACACAGCCTCGTTCAAGAACATAGCTGAAATCCTGATGGAAAGGGAAGCTTCACTTTAGGTTCCATCTCTTGACACAATCTTCAGAACAATGGGTTTTTCTGGTTGAAGGAATCTATTTCTGCTTAGTTTTATAGGGATCTGTAACAGTTGAAGAAGTGAATTGTGAAACAACCAGTAACTCCAAAAATCAGAGATGAAAGAGTGAACCAACAACAGTAATGCTTAAAGCATAAGAAGTACTTTAGCATGGTATTATCTTGAATCACTTAGTTTCTAAGTTGAGTTGAAATGGGATAGTTAAAGTTTTCATCCAAATATTCACTTAGTACTAACATTCATTCTTTACTGGACACGTGACAAAATTATTTACCTAGTCTTTATTTTCATTGCTGTAAATTGTAAGGTTTTAAAATTAAGTCAGATACTTAGATATCAGGGAAAACTGTTTGTCAAAGACATAAAATGTTAATTTTGTAATTTTGGAAACTTGCAAGATAGCCTGAGTTGACATTGTACCTTTAAACTGTATAGGAATTCTCTAAAGGACCTTGGCAGCCATCAAAATTGAATCCATTCACTTAATGGTGGTGAAATTTTAATGAGAATTAAATTTTTAATCTTTAAATCTCTCTTGGCTTCTAAGAGAAGTGCAAATGGGAAGCTTTTGAGTCCTATAGTTATCTGTCTAAACTATTCTCCCCATTCTCTCTCAATAATTTGTTCACCCATGTGGAACATGCAACCAAGTACTTTTCTGATCATATCACAGGGAGGAATAAGCATCGTGTTATGCAAATTCCATTTTACAAGTAATTGGGAGTTTACCATGGAGGATATGTCCATTCCATGTGTGCCAAACATACTCTCTTTAAAGAGTAAAGCTGTGATTTTTTTATACACAGGAGAGTAAAACAGCTACCATAAAGACCAATGGAAATGATAATCACCTCTATCTGCTTCCTGTCCACTACAGAAAGTCAACTGAGAGAAAAGCAAGATATAAATTCAAGAGTACTAGAAATTAACTAAACATTGCTTCATATGAATCAAAGACAATTATCTTTTGGTTCTGTAGAGGAAACATTTCAAATACTACTCTAAATGTATAACCATATTATGGTAGAATTACAAATGGTATACTTGTAATTTCTCCAGAGGCAGGACAAAAAAAAAGATACATATACAGACAGAAAGGCATCCATGCTCACACACACACACACACACACACACACACACACACACACACAGAGAGAGAGAGAGAGAGAGAGAGAGAGAGAGAGAGATACATACATATACATAAATATCATTAGTTAATATGTATAAATAAAATAGCTTAAAATTTTGCCTAATAATTTTGAAACAACCACAACTCACTTCTTAAATGTTTTATCATTTACAATGTGCTTGACAGGGCAATCCTATTTGAAGGCAAAATTGAACAGATACAGAAAGAATAGTAGGAGATGATCTACAAAGGACTGGGGATATTCTTAAAAACAGAATATATAGAGAATCAGGTGGGATAGGTTAGTGAAAAACATGTTAGTTTAAGTGATTATAGAAGCCTACAGTAAATAAAAACTGAACAGAAAAGTAAACAGGCTGGAAAAAATGGGAAAGGCTACACAGAGAAGATCAGGGATTATGTAAGACCGAAGAGTAATAACAATAAGAAGAATTGTGCAGTTTTTAAGAGGCTATAAAGGGCACCCAGTTTGTCTTCAGTAGATTCCATGAAATGTGAGGTCCAGTAGTCAGGAGAACACTAAGTGACTGACTAAGTAGTAATTCTTTAAACCAGTCACTCTCAAGCTGGGTACAACATGAGAACCAAAGGAGAGATCTGAAATCCACACTTTTGGTGAAATATTTTTAAATATCTGAGAAGACTCAAGTGACATTATTTGTTTTAAAGCCAATACTAGGATTTCAACGTATTGTCAGTGACTCCAGTGTACAGTCCATGGGTAAGAACCACTGTTACAAGGAAGCTTCTGTACATTCTGTTAGAAGACACCACTACTCAGACATCATGATGAGCAGATCATTGTACCTCATGATAGTGGGCAACATATCCAATCTCCAACTTGCATGAACAAATTTTAAAATTCATTCATTTTTAAAGAACACACATAACCACACCATGCTAACCAACATGGAGCCTAAACGATTATTATTGTGCTTTACACATGCTGATTTACAGCTCCAGAATGGAAACTTCTGAAAGTTTATACCTGGCTCCAAATATATCTTTTTTCTACATTGAATAGATTATGGGAAGATATTTTTTCTGTATAGATAGCTTTATTTTTTTAAAACCTCCTTAAAAACCACTATTCTGTGAAAAACATTGTCTCACCTGTGTTTCTTTACAAGGTTGTAAAGAGAAATGTTGCATAATTATGATAACAGCAAGTTTCATGTTCATAAGTGCAAACCTCATACCAATGCAGTTCCATGGTCCAGCCCCAAAGGGCATGTATACGTAAGGCTGAATGTTTTCTTTGTTCTTCTTGCTGAACCTGTTGCCATAATAATTCAAAATACGTGAATGAAACTTAATGACCACATGAGCTTCATCTCTGGGGTTCTTGGAAAGATCCCTACAGTCAGAATTGTACAGGATAGTTTTTGACCTATTTACTGAAACCCTGATGTATTTATTTTACTTAAGAATTGCATATTAAAGATACTTTCCACTCCCCTTACATTCTGCAAACATCCCATTTCCCTGAGATGAAGGCAGTCAGTGCTGTTTGAAACAAAATATATGTTAAGACATTAACCTTCCCTTTAAGTCAGGTAGTAACTAGACTAAATGACCAAAAAGCATCTTCTAGTCTCTACTGAAAATTCAATTGATCACTTGCTCACTGGGGAAGAAGGAGAAAGTCTGTGTCACTATGAGAGTGTCACTTTTCCCTTAAATCTTTTCCTCTGTTTTTTTCTTTCTTTTTTATTCTTCTCTTTTCTTTAATCTTTCATCATTTTCTTGTTTTCCCCATTCCCCCTCCCTATGCATAAAATGATTAATTTCAGATCTTTTATAAGAATAGAGATGATTCTCTATTAAGTTACCCCATTTACTTCCTTGTCTATATCATCCATTGGGCTAAAAATTTACTGAAAGTTTAAACATTTCTCTTATTGCAATTTGACTAATCATATTTGATTGTATTAAAAATGTGATTTACAGGGCTGGGGATCTACCTCAGGTGCTTAAGCACCTGCCTGGCAAGCACAAGGTCATGAGTTTGATCCCTGGTACCAAAAAAAAAATCCCTTTGTAAAAATTTGATTTAGGAAAAGTTATAAGGTCATTCAAATTGCAATTTTAAAGTATTTCTTATACTTTGGATAATGTTCTGGAATATTTACAAGTGGTGTGTCACAGCAGAATGTGGTGGTGTGTGGAGGGGAAGCTGGCATGAGTGTACTGTTGTTGGGGCAGGAGATGGACCAATAAAAGCACGCACAATAAAAGTATCCTACAGACATGTCTTATATATTGTATTTGAGTACTTTTAAACTAATGTCCACAGTGAATATATTTCAACATATGGATTACAGTCTGACTCAGTCCCTGACATGATCTATTCGATGACTGAATGAATAGAGGTACAATGAGCATTTCCTAAGTGAAGCTATGGAAAGAAAACTTGCTGAAGCTTCAGGAAGCACTAAGTTCTTCTTATCCATAAAATGGAGAGCTGAACTGCTCAATCACCTCTCCCATAAGTAATATGTAATATGTAATAAGTAATATGTGCAGTCTATAGATTATTACTATGTAAACCATGGGTGATAATCATATGAGTTCCTGACATCAGCAAATGCACAGTAATACCAGATCCCAGGCCTCTTGGCACAGCACCAAGTGCAGTAAAAACTTCATTTCTATTTTCCTTTACAACATCTGTATGAGAAAATATCACCTATTTCCAAAGTGTAAACTGTGTCTAAAGTCTGACTTTACAAGACATCATCAAAGAAGATCCCTTCACAAATGTACAGAGCAGATGCCTTGGCTTCGGAAGAGTCACTACCAACAGAAAATGTGAAGGAGGCGAACAGCCAGAGACAGGCCCAGGAAGGTCTGCTTTTTCCTCAGTCTTTGGTGAATAAGCAGGGAGGAGGATTTCTCTGGCTCTCCCCGTCAATATTTATCCTCGCACTACAGGAAACAGAAATCAATGTTTAATCAAATTGATTTCTTGAATTCGGTGATAAATTCAGAGACCTAAGATGAACATCACCAGAAATTGAAAAATAATGTCTTTATAAATGAAATAAGGTAGTTGTCTAGTAAGTTATGGAAGATGCACAGGTCCACCAAAGGAAAGACATATATAATGCCACAAATCTTGAGTAGTTTATAATTTACTGCATGTAAAGTATGTACCACTTGCAAACACATGTAAAATGCAGTATCATTCAAGTTATTAAAATTTTATATATGTATAATGTATGTAAATATATCAATGCATGTAAATGTATCAATATTACCATATTTTATTATAAGTAGAATTTTATTTTAAAGTGTGATATGTGTATTACTTTCCTCAGATCTCATCAGTTTTTGTATAGATATCACTTTATAATTCTAATAACAAAATTCTAAATTCTAAAAACAAAAAGACACTTTTCCTTATTTATAGGTCTTGCACTATCATCACGTGTCATTCAAGTTATTAAAAATTTATATATATAATATATATGCACATATATATCAATATTACCATATTTTTTCATAAGTAAGAATTTATTTTAAGTTATGATAAGTGTAGATGTGTGCTTTTTCCTCAGGTCTCATCAGTTTTCAGACAGCTATCACTTTATAATTTTAATAACAAAATTCTAAATTTTAAAAACCAAAAGACACTTTTCCTTATTTGTAAGTCTTGCATTATCATCACATGTCACTTCTAGTAAGAGACATCGTAGTGTACTTTGACCTGCTTGCTTCAAAGTGGGTTTCCTTTCTAGGAATCTTTTAAGAATTAAAAGAATTATTTCTTCTTTTATCTGGAAGATTATTTCTGATTTGAGTTCTTTTAGAGCTTCATGGAGTTGTCTCTTTACTTTGGTCACTGTCATTTCAATAGTTTCAGGTGTATGGCTTACGTTTTCTTCTATGTCCATGTCTCCTTCTTTTTATCTGGAAGATTACTTTAGATTCTTAATAGAGAATCATCTCTATTCTTATAAAATATCTGAAATTAATCATTTTATGCATAGGGAGGGGGAATGGGGAAAACATGCTTTCTAGGAATCTTTTACCTTTCAGGGCAGAAATCCTTGCTGTTTTTCCAGTATTTTGGGTCACGATGAAGAACATATATCGGTACCATCACAACTGTCCCTTTGGGAATGAACACTCCATTAACTTCAATATCTTTTTTACAGATCCTTGAGAGTCTGTTACCAATCGGGTATAATCTGAGAGTTTCATTCACCACCATGTCCAGGTACTCCATCTCTACCAAGATATCATAGGTAGGAAATGCCTGGGAAGAAAAAAATAAATTTGAGAATCAATTTAATTTTCATTCTCCTTCAACTCTTTTTTTCTTCCTCCTTTTCTTCTCCCTTTCTCTCTTTTGTTCTTCTATTTTTATTTTCCCTCCTCCTCCTTCTCCTCCTATTTTTCTTGCTCCTCCTCCTCCTGCAACTCCTTCTCTTCCTCTTACTGTTTGTGATACCTAATGATTACATTTCTCTGGGAATTTGACACTTGTACATAATGCATTTGCCTCTCTTGTGTATCTATCTCTGGATTCTCTTCCCATTTGAGAAAGATCTATTTCCATGCTTCCTATGATTTATCTTTTAGCTTGCTTTTTAGATATATTTTGGGCTTCTCATATAAGAGAAAATGTGATATTTAAGCTGCATGTCTCATTTATTTCATTTAGTACCATGGTCATACAGTGCATCCAGTTTCTTACACATGACTCAAATTTATCCTTTTCATGGCAGATTAATACATATCAAAGATCTAGATATTAAAACATAATAATTAGCCAAAAGCCTGCTCAGTAATTTCCATCCATCCATGCAGCCTTGGCATGTCATTTGGAGTTAGGTAGGGCACTTCTCAGGGTCCCCTATCACCAGAGGACCCTAGAGAAGGTCCCCCTGGGCCTACTTGGGCACCACCCATGATTCTGAGTGGCCAGGAGCCACCTGTGCTCCACTTAAGGAGTCAGAAGCCTGTGCAGTGATCTCCATCCAACTGTGCAGCCTTGGCACCTTGCTTGGAGCCTGGTAGGGTCCCATCCAGTGAGAGGGTACCCCATCACTGGAGGACCCTATGGAAGGTCTCTGTGGGCTTACCTGAGCACTACACAGTGACCCCGACTGGCCCAGAAAAAACTGTGCTCCACCTCATGAGCTGAAAGCTTGCACGGCTATCTCCATCCAGCCACACAGCATTGATATATTTCTCAGAGCCTGGTAGGGCCCTGCCTAGCATCCTCCATCACCAGAGGACCCTAGGAAAGCTGTGCAGAGTTTGGCCCTGACCAGAGTACCCAAGTGGCCGGGAGCCACTTGGTAAGGTCTGACTGACATCTTCCAGTCAACAGGGAAAACTCTCTGTGGTATGGGCTGATATTCTCAACCCAAGAAACAACTGAAACCTGGCCTTCAGGTTCCTTAGGGGATATAGGAAATTGAAAAAAAGAAAGAGTAAAATGTAATTTCACACCTCCATTACATCCCAAGCAAGCCTAGGAGACATGGACATAGAAGAAAACGTAAGCCATGCACCTGAAACTATTGAAATGACAGTGACCAAAGTAAAGAGACAACTCCATGAAGCTCTAAAAGAACTCAAATCAGAAATAATCTTCCAGATAAAAGAAGAAATAACAAACATAATAAAAGAAATGCTGAATACATTCATAGAGGGCATAGTTAAGAAAATAGAGGAACATTGCACAAAGATGGAAACCTTGAATGAAAAATATAAGAAACAAACAGAATTCATGAAACAGATTCAAAGAGATTCAGGAAATGAAAAATTCCATCAAAAGTTGGCCAAGATGCCTCAATGAAAGTAAGATAGACTTGCAGACCTCAAAGGCAAGATTACAGGTAGCGAACAAGAAAGATCTTTGAAAAAAATAAAAAGAATCAGAAAATAACAATTCAACAACAGGAAGATGATGTAAAGAAAAACAATATAAGACTGATAGATGTAAATGAAAAAGGAGATGACAACACAAATGATATCAAAAGACTTTACAGAAGTAAAAGCTGAAAATTTCCCAAATGTGGGAATAGAAGTTTAGAATGCAGATAAGTGAAGCATATAAATTCCAAATAACCACAACCAAAATAAAACTACACCCAGACTTATAATAATCAACATCTAAGAAATTCAACGTAAGAACAGAATATTAAAAGCTGTTAGAAGAGACAGATAAAAAAAGAAGAGACAGATCATCTATAAAGAAAGCATATCAGAATCACAGAAGACTTCTCAGTATAAACAACAAAGTCAAGAAGAGCATGAAGTGAGGTATATCAGATCCTAAGGAAAATGACTCCCAACTCAGATTTATGTACCCTGCAAAACTGTGCTTCGAAATGGATGGGGAAATAAGATACTTCCAATTCAAAGAACAGCTGAAGAACTTCATGACCACCAAACCAACCTGGCAAAGAATAATGAAAGATATTCCAGATACACATAAAAATAACAACTTCAAGAATACCAATAGAAAAAAGGTCACTAAGCAAGGCAAACAGTTAAACAGTGGGGAAAACTAAGCAACTAATAGCAGAAAGAAGACATGACAAAAATGAACCAATATATATCAAAAGGAACATAAATAAAAAACCTGAAGCTACATCTTAAACACGTTGCAAAGAAGAGCAAGTCAAACCGAAAACAAAAAGAAGGGAGGAAATTATGAAGATCAGAGTGGAAATCAGTGCAATGGAGACTAAGAAAACAGTACAAAGAATTAATGAATAAAAGAGTTGGTTCTTTGAAAGAAGAAATAAAATTGATGAGTCCCTAGCCAGTCTTATTTTAAAAAGTAAAGAAGGATCTCAAATTCATGCAATAAGGAATGAAAAGGGTGAAATCACAATAGACCTTGTGGAAATACAGAAGATCAGCAATACCTGGCTTGAAAAATCTTTACCTCACAGTTTTGATAAAACACAGAAAAATGGACAGATTCTCAGAAACATTATAATACCAAAGCTGAATCAAGAATATGTGAAACTGGCTGAATAACCCAATTTCATTTAATGAAATTGAAAATGTAACTAAAATCTTATCAACACAGAAAAGCCCATGTCCTGATGGATTCACTGCTGAATTATACAACAAATTCAAGGAAGACAATGCCAACACTACTCAAACTCTTCAGTGAAACTGAAAGGGAAGCAATTCTCCCTATCACATTCCTGGAAGCAAGTATCATCCTACCAAAAATAAAGAACCAACCAAAAAAGAGAACTATAGGTGAATCTCCCTAATGAACATAGATGCAAAAATACTCAATAAAATATTGGAAAACATAATGCAGCAAGTCATCAAGAAGATTATACACCATGAACATGTGGGATTCATTCCAGAAATGCAAATCAATGGTTCAACATATGCAAATCAATTATATGTAATCCACCATATCAATATACCAAAGATAAGAATCACATGATCCTCTCAATAGATATAGTAAGATTTGATAAGGTCCAACATTTATTCATGACAAGAATCCCACATAAAAACATAAAGGAGGAGCACACCACAGGGGCCGGTGGGAAGGAGAGACAACAGCTGAGCATGGGGAGTCCGCTCAGCCCTGCCTGCCGCCTCTCTGCCTCTCCAGCTGGAGGAGCACACCACAGCTGCTATGAGGAAGGAGAGAGCTGGGCTGAGCCGCTGGAATCTGCTCTGGCCTCTTCTATGAACTTCTTTTGACCTGGAGAGCACCAGCACTACTGCCACTGCCTGGAGGAGGGAGCAGCCCTGCTAAGGAGGTTTCAGGCCTACGTAGGCCATAGGGGGACCCTCTATCAGCCTGGGGAGCTTTGCCATCCAAGGAGCTGGATGACTACACAACATCCAATCCCTGGGAGAGTATGAGATCCTGGCTTTGGTGGGTTGGGGGTCCGCTGGGCTTGCAGTCACACTAGATTGGGCTTAGCAGGATTTGGGATTGCCTGGACCACATCGTGGCCTTCTTTCCCTCAGGAGAGCTTTGCTACCAGAGGGGGAAACTGTGCAGCTTGAAGAGGCTTTAGATCTACCTGAGAGAAGCCTGGAAACTCTCTTTTAATCCACGGGCTCTGCTGCCCAAGGAGGGAGCTACACTACCAGAGGAGTCCCAAGAGCCCAGGTCATAAGCGACAATTTCCAACACACCCAGGGGAAATTCTGGAACAACATTTGAGACACGGAAATATAGGAAAATGACAAAACGAAAGACCAAAATGCAATCTCAAACATCCAGCCCATCCTAAGAAAGCCTAGGAGCCATGTACATAGAAGAAAATACATGCCATATACCTGAAATACCTGAAATAATAGTAACTGAAATAAAGAAGCAACTCTGGGAAGCTTTAAAGAAATTCAAACTAGAAATAATCTCTCAGGTAAAAGAAGAAATGATAAAACAAATGAAGGAGATGCTGAACATATCTAAAGAAGACACAGTTAAAAATTGGAGGAACTAAACAAAAAGATAGAATCCCTGGATGAACAGTATAAGAAACAAACAGAGGTGTGGAGGACTGAATATCTCTGCAAGCAGGGAGGGATCGCAAGTTCCTGAGGCACCTCGGCCTGTGGTGAGTGCCCAGCACACTCTGCCCAAATCTCAGACTGTTCCGGACCCCCCAGGCTTCTGGGTGCAGTGAAGTGGAGCAGTGGGTTAGAGGCCACTACATCCGCCTCCCCATCCCGGCTACCCTTGGAGGTCTGCTGAGCTCCCGACGGGTGGGCGGGCCTACAATATCCCCCGAGCCCAGCCGCGCCAAGCCATCAGTGTGCAGAGGAGGAGCTGGGTGGATCTGGAGTGCCTGCAGAAGTCCCTTCCTTTGTCTGGAGGACTGAATATCTGCAAGCAGGGAGGGATCACAGGCTCCTGAGGCACTGTGGCCTGTGGTGAGTACCCTAACCCGGCTGCGATTGAAGAGCTGTGGAGCTTCCAAAGGGCAGGTGGGTGCACAGTGTCCCTGAGGCCCAGCTTGTCTGGAACTGCGGAGTTCTGAACAAGCAGAGGAGGGCCATTGGTTCTGCAGGCCCAATGGCTTGGGGTAGCATGGTGCCAGAGTCTCAGTAGCTGCAAACACAGAAGGGGATTTTCAACAGATCCTGAGGAAGCTTTCAAATAACACTTGAAACACAGAAATATAGGAAAATGACAAAATGAAAGACCAAATTACAACCTCAAACCTCCAGCCCATCTCAGGAAACCCTAGGAGGAATGTATTTAGAAGAAAATATATCCCATCCACCTCATATATTGGACACAATAGCTACTGA